GAAATAAAGGGAATTATGTGCAGTCTTATATTAAATCCTTCAGGCAAAGCCAGCAAACAAACCTCCTAGGGGGTAAAGGATCATTAGTGTGTAAAAAGGTGCTGGTTTAGCCCAGCTGGTCCCATCAGGTGGGCACATACCTCCTGGTAGGTGTTATTTGACCTTGTAAGCAAAAGGGCTGTGCTAATCTAAATTGTTCTTGTGGCTGGGTTCAAGTAATCTCTTTGAAGTAATGCATGTTGGATGGAAAGAAATTCAAAGCATGTCTACTGAGGCTTGCCAAGGGACATTTAAATATTCAGTGCCATGTTAAATTGAGAAAAAGCACTGCAGAAACAGAAAATTCCGGGGCTTTCTATTGATCTAACAGAATGCTATGTCTAAAAACCTAGCAATTACCCTTGCCCCCAAAATTATGAAGTAACTTTCTGATATGGTTACCACCAGCACTGCTCCATAAGGAACGTCCAGTGTCTCTGATAGATGGAGTGCTATTTTTTTCTAACACCAGCACAAACTCTGCTTCTCATCTTCCCTTCATATGAAACCAAGTGGGGAGAGGAAATATTTGAAAAGATTTCTCTTCTTGCTTGTGCACACACAAAGGCCATGAATGAATGCAGCTCTTCAGATTGCTCATGTTAGAGATTGCACAGAGAGCAGATAAAACGGCAAAGAGCAATATGTGTGTTATCGGTTGAATACTGCTTTAACTGTCTGTCTTGTAAAAAAGATTTTTTACTGGAAGAAGTGGAGCTTCTCAAAATTATGATCATTGATAGCTGTAGCAGATGAAAGTATTGCAGTCATTTCCAGACAGGGTAGCAGATAAGAGTGCAAACAAGACAGTGAAACATGCAGTGTTATTGCATTCATCAGGTGTGTATTGCTATACAAGGTCAGAGGACAGGAAGGCAGTAAATACTGCATTCTTGTTACTTACGAACAAATATGTAATGAACAAATCTGGGCTTCCAAAATTTCCACCCATCTAGAACTCCAAACATAGAGATGGAAATTGGATTGATATGATGGAACATAAGCAAAGGGTTCCAAAGCAAAAGAATACAGAACAAAAAGCCAACAGCAAAGTGATAAGCCAATTGGAATTTCACAAGATTGACACTGATGCTTAAAGTGCTTGGGTTGTTTACATGTAAAAACTCAAAGTACATAAAAATTAAAATAGAGAACTAATAATATTAACTGCTTAAATTATTATACAGATACATTAATGGAGTAACAAAAAAAGAAATAAATTAAAACAGAATTTGATAAAAAGTACTAACATGGAATGGAGCTAAAACTAGAACTTCTCAGTATTTCTAGTACACATTCAGCTGCAAGATACTTCTCCAGCTCACCAGCCACAAGCAGCAAAAGAAAAAAGACTAAACAAGAAGGGTCTGCTGCTGAGAGGCATCACATCACAGGTTAATCAGCTCAGGTCCCACGTGCATGATGCTATAACAGGTAGGTGAATGACATGTCACGTCTGAAGATGAAGGATCAGCACTTTAGGAACCACTGTGTAACACAGATTTCAGTTGCAGCTTTGATCTTAAATATCTTTACTAAGTCTAATATGAAGGAAATGCCTACTGCCTTATTTTCTTCACCCCAGCTGCTGAAGGAATAAGATCTTTAAGGTGCTATCTGTTTCTCTGTGGTTACTGTAGATTATTAATATAGAATTGGCAGGAGTCATTTCAGGACTGCAACAAGGTGTTCTGCTTCACTGATATGTTTCTCCATCACTCCTTCTGCCTTCCTCTGCTGTGTCCCAGAAATAGAAATTACATAAACCCTGACAGCTTGCTCTGTGGAAAAGTTGAGGTCTGAGCTCATCCTCTAAGATAAGTGATTAATCCGCACTGCAGTGCTTCCTTGAGTTTGGTGGGAAAAAAATGGCATAGGATGGAACTCTTCTTCTAAGTAAGAACATGATAAGAAGTTTTCAAAGCTTAATAAATGGGCAGTACTTCTCAGCAGCAGCACGTGAAAGAGGTAGAGAAGTTCAGATGCCACTAGACCTAATGCACTCAAAACCAAATACTAGGAAAGCAGCAATTTTAGGGAAGCTCAGGGCACTGTTAGATAGGTACTAGCTTTTTATTTTCTGTCTGCTGGCTGAAAAGCTGTGATTGTCCTAGATATTTTACCGTTCTTCCATAAGGGACTGGACATCTGTGTGTAAGCGTGAGAGAACGGATTGAATTTTATTTCATCAAATAGAACACAGTAGATCATACTATTGTTCCTGCAAAGATCCTAATCCTGCAAAACTCATGCAAACGTTTTTAATTTGGCACAGATCAGAACTTCTCCCACCAGAAGCAAAAGTGTTCACACAGCTTGGATGGACAGCTTTTGCCAGACTGAAGTTGAGACATTCAGCATGCTGTAGGTTGGATATCATTTATAGAATTATAACTGCAACTTTTTGGGATCAAAGGAAAATACCCCTTATTTTAGCTGTTACTAGCCTAAAGTGAGCATTCCATGATATTTTAGAGTTCATGTCAGAACAGTGATGGGGGACTGGTGTCTCATCAGTTCCATGATCTTTTATGAGATGAACATTTCCAATGGTTTGTCATATGTCTTGTGCATTTCTTGTTAGTTATAGTAGAAGATTTGGGAGCTTCATTTTTGAGCATGGGTTCCATACTTGGTAAAAAGCTAGTTCTATGAATTTTGTTCTCAATACCACATAGCAATTATCTGTATGTTTTACAACCTAGAGATATTTTGCAGCTGGAGAAAAGCAAAGAGCATCCTATAATTTATCATTTAAATATTACTTCATTTTCATAGAATCATAGAATTGCCAAGGTTGGAAAAGACCTCTGAGATCATCCAGTCCAACCAATAGTTAAAAATACTTTGTCAGATAAGTTAATTCAATTTTTTTTTTTTTTTTTAAATATATCCTACAATTGAACCAATTTTAATGTCACTTCTACGCACAATGTACAAACATGAGCTGCATTAAGGATTTTTTTCTTCCTTGTTTGGAAACTGAAGAACGCCCTATGAATGTTCTGCAGTAAACTGTGAAGTACAGACCCTTGGACCAACATTGATGAATGCTGATCTGGAAACTGCCTTCATTCACAAGCAAGAAACACTCCTGTTTTGAAAGGTAATTAATTATTATATTTTTAGTATGGAAATTTGGAATGCACATAAATAAACCCATTTAAAAAAAAAAAAAAAAAAAAAAAAAGACTGACATGTTTAGCTTTTCACTGGAAAAGGCGTCCTGGGCTTCAGTGAGAGCTCAAGTCTCCTGTAGGTTGTCTGTCTTTTGTGTTACAGATAGAACATTTCATTTCATCATTGATACAAGAACAAGAATGGCATCCCAATTATGCTTATCTATAGCCCGCATAACAACCTTCATCCACATGAGTGATCTCTGCAGAGCTCTGCTATTCGTGTACCCAAGGACCCTAAGGTTACTTTTTTTTTTTGTACTGGTATAAGGACATGATAAACCACAAAAAAGAAAAGGTCACTTCTGTTTCTCCTTCAGTGTAAAGTGCTACATTTCATTGGTTTACAAAATGGCCGTAGATAAATCCATCTGTTCAATCAATGTTGGTGTAGAAGCCAGTATTTCGTTTTCCCCATTATTCAACAACAACAAATGTTTCACATTCACAGTAGATTGCAGTGAAAAGTATTTTTCTCTTTCCTGTGGAAAACTAGAATAGAAGATTAAGCTTTGCTTCAGAGGCAGTTTTCTGAAACATGTCTGCCACAAAATGACAAGCAGGCTTCTAAAGGAAAAGTAGCAAAAGCAACATTGTCTAATAAATACTGAACAAGAGTCAATAAAATGTAACAAGTAGAAATACATCTCATGAGATGACAAAGAGTCCTAGAAAATGCTGGAACCAGCTCTCTGTCGCCCTGAAGGCAACAGGAGGTTCTTTGCTGTTGATATAATTTGAACAGGTATTCGGGTGCTAAGGTTCAAGCACTGTACAACTGTGTCAAACCAAGCAAGAGAGATACCCAGGGCTACCTCTTCCTCATTCCGCTTTCCATCCCTTCTTATACCCTGCTGACACATTCTTTTACATTCCTTCTTTGCTGTATTCCAGTATGTGTGTTTGATAGTTTTATTAGCCAGTGTATTACTGTTACCAGCCCAATTCGCCCAGTAAAATCAGAAACAGCAGAACTAAGTCTGTTCAAAATGCTGTCAAATATTCAAAAAAATTGTAGGATGGAGCCTGTTTTATGTATACAGTGTACCAACAGCACACCTGGATCTGGACAGTGGAATTTCAGTCCTCATGGATACACTGCACATGAGCAGTGTTGTTATCTCTGCAAAATCAATGAAGTCAAGAACATGTTATATTGTTTTAGCAGAACAATAAGCTCAATCTCTATAAAAGTAGTTTATCTCTGTGCTACATGTGTCATCTTGCTGATTTTATTCCAGTGCTCTGTAAGTTCTGAAATCTCACCTCATCTGTACTATCACATTGTCTTGGCATATAGTATTGCTTAGTTCCACTGTAATTTACATCCTTCTATGTGAATTTTAGGCCTAACATTATACACTGAAAGTTTTTAACAACCCCCAAAGCTTAAATGATTTTGGAAGATTAGCTTTCTTTGCAGTTGAGAGTAACATGTAAAAAAAAATAAAAATAAGAAAAATACTCTATGACAATTCCAGTCATTGTGAAGCAGATTTTTTTCCCCCTTACATTTAAATTGGTTAAGAAAGTCAGTACACTCCAAAATCATTTAGAAAGCTTAAAACAACTTTGGCCTAAATACAGTGAGCTGTTCCACATAAAATACTGCTCTAGCCAGATTTGGTTTAACAGTTGACATTCAATTCTTTCGGTGTTATTCCATATAAACTCTACTAGAATCTGACTGCAATTAACTTCTCAATCAGACTTAAAAACAACAAACTGCCCTCCCCTCCTGAAAGAAAGTTCTGGATGTCAAAAATGAACAGTTAAGGTCAATACCATATAGGCCATTTAATGAGAGGCAGAATATATCATTTTTCAGCCATACAAAATGAGGTTTTTGTAGAAGTCAATTCAGTGGGCCATCACCTTCTTTGCCTGCAGAGTTGTTGTGTGCAGCTGTCACAGTTTCCCAAGTCACTCTCTTGACTGGTAGAATAAAATATAACCAGACTCCGAATTTTTTGATATATCAGAGGTCAGTCCATAAAATTCTTCAATAGCTTGAGCATCTATTTTCTGTAAAATAAATAGAATCATTTAATGTACTCGTAAGTAAAAGAAATGCCAAGCATAGATTAGAAGACTATATAAAAACAGAGGACAAATTCATTTAAGTGCTTCAGAGCAGCAGTTAGCAAATTCCCTTTGCAGTTCAAGCAGTGAAATGTTAATTAATGTTCAGGTGCTAAACCCTACTGATCACTGTCATTGAAATCAAAAGGAATGTTTGCCTTGGAGAGCCTAAAGGAATTAGGCTTTTTCAAATAACACAGTGTTTGGAATGCAGTAGTAAACAAAAAGCACAAATGTGACCTCATCTTTCCGAAAAGCAACAGAAACCCTCTTCAATACGAGCTTCATTCACAATGGTCCTGAAGTCCTACTTTACTCCAATGAATCTAAACCCGGGGAACTAGACTCAAGACCCCTGTTATGCCAGGTTCCACAGTGACATAAAGGATTTGCTTGGGAACAAATCGTGCTATGTTTAGACAATTTGTAATAGCTGTGGACCACATGCCTCACTAATTTTCATCCAGACCATCCCAGACTGACCACAAAATTCAGATGCTCTTGTAACCTCCTTGTTTAAGAAATAAAACTCCAAACAACCCTAACTTTACCCGGTCCAATTTTGCCAAGTGAGATTGTGAAAGATTGCAAAATAGTTCCTGTATGTTTTAAGTTTTAATGAATTAACTTGATCTTATTATGTATAAAAAACATTCCAAATTAAACACTCTGAATCTGATATTAAAAATGTTTGATGTCGCTTTACAATAAAACGACTGTCTTTTACATTGACAGGGTAAGAACTATGCCATTAATCATTCTGTTTGCAATCTAACTTTCTAACAGAGCCGAGCAAAATGTCACGTTGCAAGCAAGCTGTGGCTTTGCAGACTAGTAATCTGTACCCAGATCTGGATCAGAACTTTAATTCCAAACAAAGAAGAAAGCACAAATGTTGTGCTCATGGGCTTCAGCATACTGACCTCTACAATGTCATCATCAAACAAGAGCCAAAATCCATGACTTTTCACAATAGTAATATAATGCCCACGATTCGGTCCACTGAAAAAGAAAATGAAGAAAAATCTCAAAACCCAATATAACACTAGAAAGTACTATTAGGTCCATTTTGATAAGTAGCTCATCTATATAAGAGCAGGTGAAATTATAGTTACATGCTAAGAAGAATACAGTAAACCCATCTCTAGCTGTACAGTATATATGTTCTATTTTTTTCTGCCCCGTTGCTATGACCTAGTCAACTAAATTTGTAATGTATTGCTTTGATTTGTGTTATGACCATCTGCAAATTGATCTATACAGTACTTAACAATTTCCTCATATCTGGCATCAACTATGGCAAATATTTTTAAAACAACATGAAGTAATTTTAAGGGGAAATATTTTGAAAATACGAGCCATGAATAGTAACTTATTTATGGTTTTTGAGATTAAGGGAGAACAAGACATTTCTCCAACCCCAAAGATTTATCTGTTTGTTTCATGTCTAACGATGCTTCACTTCTGAGAAGCTTTAATAAAGCTATCGTTTTCATTGTCCTGACAGGAACTGGCTGACCTGCTGCGGAGTCTACCTGCTAACAGCCCATGGCCCTCACAGAGTCCTGTCTCCAAGTTCTCCAAGTGATGAGGAAAGAGACAGCTTTCTTCTTCCTTTCGCATGATTTCAATCTGTTGACTTTTGGGTGCCTGAAGTGCTATTTTTCAAAGAGGTTCAGATTACTATGAGGAAAGGTGGCTAAGAGCTTCTGGCCAAGATAAACGCAAGCTGGAGCAGCAGTACAGCTTATGTCCCCTCTTCCACTCTCCTTCTATTTTGTCAGGCATGCCTCACCCTTGACAAATGCCTGGAACCTGTAATAGTTTGAGATGATCGACGTGAGGGAGTCTTACCTTCCACAGTGAACGACAACAGCTACTAAGTCATACATCCGGTCTAAGTTGACAGCATCGCCAGACGTGTTGAAGAGACGTAATTCCAGGGGAAATACAACACGATAAGACAGCTTAGTATACCTGTGCAATTGCTCCATGTACTTGAATCTCTTGAGATGTAAGGCAAGAATCATTGGCAACTTTTTTACTCGCATCCTGTGACACCATAAGAATGCACATGGTAAAGACCTGTCCAGTTCAAAGCCACTCTTTCCTTAATGTTTGCATTAGAAAAGGACCTTGTAAGTAACAATAGTATACTAGCAGTAGCTTCTACACTAACAAGTACAATAGCTTTGAATCTGTCTGCAAGTTCTCTGGGCCACACAGAGCGTGTATATGGGGTGCAAGTTCTACAAACACAATAAATGTTAAAGAGAAAGTTTGTCAAAGTCCAGGAGTAACATATTGAAACCACTCTGCTCTTCACTTACCTTTTCTGTGCCTCTTGTTTACTGCAGCAGGTTTCACAGTAGTATTTCTGCTCACTACATAATGTCTCTGTGTTACTGAAGTCTCTGTAAGTAAATACAATTATCAGTTCTTCAAAGTTCTTAATGCTTTTGACCCAGTGCCACGCTTGGACTGTGGAACTGGAATCCTAAAAAGACACACGGGATGAAATGTTATTACTGCTGAAATCCAGTTTTCTAAAACACCTGAAGAAACTGTACTGGAATTTGCAAGGGACTTACAGTACCTGGCTGTAGCGACAGCTTTGTATTAGGTGCTGAGACCCTCTGTGCAATACAGGGAATCACAGAATGGTCTGGGTTGGAAGGGACCTCAAGGATCATGAATCTCCAACCCCCGTGCCACAGGCAGGGCCACCAACCTCCCCATTTAATACTAGGCTGACCAGGACCCCATCCAACCTGGCCTTCGTGGGGAGGGAAGGACTCAGCTATCTCTAAATGGGACCTATATCCTCATCTCTTGCATGTCAAGAGGCTGCCAAGATTTCAGTGTAGATGCTTAACCCATCCAGTGCCTTTTAAAATTATTTATAGAATGGAATATCTTCAAGCACACTTCTTTCATCCCCAGGTAATTAACATTTTATAGTGTTCTCCTGTAAGCTAAACTTGAATCATCTAATGCAGAAAAATAAATTGAACTTAGTCTTCTGCATCCCCTAACCTCTGAGCATCTATCCAGAAGTTATGTGGTTTTATCTTCACGATGTCTGAAAAGGAAAGTGTCATCTGAGCTTTTGAAGAGAGGCAGAGTTGGCTTGATTGTGCTGTGCAGTTAGCCGAAAAGATTTGTCAGAAATCACAATGTTGATAAGTTTTGGAACAGAACTTTAGGTGTCTAAAAATCTTAACAGGTAAAAAAAAAAAAAAACAGTAATTTGTTTTGTCAACTCTAGCGTTACATCGCAACTAGGCAGGTGTTTTGAGAACCTTAAATGCAGACGTAAGCACCTATCTTCCACTTTAGACACAGTGGGTTTTTTGTGACTGTGCTTTAAATAGATGTATTCTATCATTCCAATACCCTGAGTTGGAAGGAACGTTGGGCATAGACATCTCTTGCTAAATCAGGTTGCCCAAAGCCCCATCCAACATAGCCTTGAGCACTTCCAGAGACGTGGCATCCATGGCACACAGCTACTTCTGTGGGCAAACTGCGTCACTGTATCACCATCCTCAAAGATAGTACTTTTTTTTCCCAGTATCTAATCTAAAACAAACTACTCTCTTATCTGTCCTCTACCTTCTGCCTAAAAGGCTGTTACCGTGTCCTACTAAAGCAGTTGAGGCACAGTCACGGAACCTAGAGGCACTGCTTGTTTACTGACCCAGCACATTAATTTCTTTGTCTGTACCAAGAACAAAACAAGTAGCCTACACACAAGCAATAACTATCTCCTTGGGGGAAGAGATGTATGCAGGAAAATTAGATGGTTTTCTTGTCCTTCAAAAGTGCAATTTTTGTTTCATCTATCAAGAATTCTCAGCACGGCACTCCTAAAACATGTTTCACACTTAAGAACTACAGGCTTGAGAAACCTCTCTCTACAACAGCAGAATGAGTTGCAAGACCTTTCTAACTCCCTCCTGTTCCATTAATGGGCCAATCTGCATCTGTTTATATGGTATTTTAACAGGAAAAAGGAATTTACTTTCTCTCTCAAAACATGGTAATTCATCACTGACCCTCTACAGTCAATTTCTAGAAACTCTGCAGATTCTATACAACAGTGCAGAAGATGCTTTCTACTGTTTATATGAGTGAATAGTACAAATTTCCTATTTTAATAGATGACAGAATTCTTAGTGGAACAAAACAGAACAAAAAGCATAGGCAGATTAGTTAGAAATTGGGATCAAAAAGCTTTGCAGATCCTAGAGGAAATAAAAATAACAGAAATGTACTATGTTATTGCTAAACTTTTACTGCTTCAGGTCCAGCTGCCTGCTTTGTGGAGTTAAGGCTATGCCAAAGACTTACATTCTTCAGATTTCTTACAGAGACAGGATATTTTCAATCTGAAAAGCTACAAAAATAACTGAAAAGAACATTCATCTATATGGGGAAGAAATTCATTTTACTGAAACGTTGTATTGCACAGATTTTCTTTTATGTACCTTTTCAGTGCAGTGCTAATTTAAGCTGTAAAGATGCAGCAACTACCTTTGCAGTAGCCATTTCTTAGGACAGTTGTGTCCACATAGAAATCACTGCCATCTGACTCAGGGAGTGGTCCATGCCTTGTATGCTTTCTCTTTCTGTAACTCCATAGTTGATGTGAGATATCAGGTAACACTTCCTAGGCATTCCAGAACAACTGTTAATTAGTTTCAGTAGTTGTTCAACGTTGCCAGCAATTTTGGAGTTTGAATGAGTAATTTGGCCAATCGATAATCATTACTTTAGAGCAGTAATATTCTGTCTTAAACCTAGGTACCTGTCCATTGCATCGATGCCAAAACTCCATACATTTTATATCTCTCAGATTAACCATTCATGCAAATCTGAAAATTACGTAGGTCTCTGAAGGATTTGTTTAATAATTAGGCATGAAATAAGAGCGGAACTGACTTAAAAACTTCTCATTATAATTTGATAAGATGTGTAGTAAGAAACTTACATGGCACAACAGAAGACTTCCAAAATCTTTTGCCCTCTAAGGACTCTAGTGCTCTACAAAGCACACACATGACTTTTAATATGCACATAAATCCTAATCAACAAAGCACTTGACTAAAAGCTTAAAGATAAGCTCACACAAATCTCTTTGAAACCAATTATTATTCTACAGCAATTCTTCAAGATGACAGTGCAATCAATTTTTCCCCAAGAGAGAAATTGTTTTTTCTCTTTCAAACACGTACATTGAAAACAAGAGAAAAACAAAATCCATTAGTGTGTATTTTGTCACTAGAGGAAGAACCCAGTTTATAGTAATTTTCTGCTTGGGAAAAGCTCAAAACACAATCCTATTCCATTTCTCTTTTTTGCATCTAGTAGATTTGGAAAATATAACAAAATCAGATAGAAACATTCATCAAAGGGATGCATTCATTTACCTTAGACAGTGTGTAATTGATGTGTTCTGCTCCACATCAACAGAAAGGTCAAGAAAATCTTCATCTTTACTACTAACCTGTAGCAAAAAATATACACGTAAAGCAGATTTAGTAAAACATCATGCATCAAAATGCTGTATGTATCTATGGGCAAACGCTATAAGATGGAACAATTTCTCAAAATAAATTACACAAAGTATTTATTTCAATTGGTTTTTCTTTGTTGTTGTTTTTTGTTTGTTTGTTTGTTTGTTTTACCTAGATCAGCATGACCATATTCATTCTGCCAATTAAGCAACCAGGCCAACCCAGTTTCCAACTTCTGTCTACTCCAATTATCCAAACCCACTGACCACAGACTGATGACTGCACTTTGCTATCCACTAAACAGGGAGCATCATCCTGTACATTAGGCTCTGGTTGGTGTAGTACATATGTTCTATTGTTACAAAATACAGCCCAGCTCCTTATTATACTGGAATTTTATCTGTGTATAAATTGTGTAATCTCAGTTTACGCCCTACATGATACTTTCCACTATTAAGGATACAGTGAAAATAATTTCCATGCAGGCATCCATTGAGAAATGTCACATTCAAATGCTTTATATTTTTTCTCCAGTGAAAATTTAAAAGCTTGGCTTTGTGTCTCTTGTTGGCACACCTACATTTCCCCATGGAATATTACTGTTGATGAATAATTTTAACAAGACTGAATGAGAGGTTGGAGGAAAAAATGGCAAAGCGGTAATATTTTGTAAAATCGCTGTGATTTCACCAGTGTGTTTTTTTTTAGGTGGAAGAAGATGAGGAAAAGTCTGATAAAAGTATTTTTTTTCTAAAAAATAGTCTTTCAAACATTTTCAGAGTGATAGATCCTGGCTTTGCTTGAAAATGACTTTTCACCTAAAATGTTTAATCTTGAAGGAGATTGAATTATATATGTATACATATATTTATCTTCTACAACAGATAATTATTGTACTTCAGCTGAGCCAAAACATTTTTCTCCAGAATTCTTTTCATGGAAAATCATGGAATTTCAATATTTCTTTGCAGACCGGAAATATGATTTTTAAATGCCACTCATGTATCCTATAGGTCATCTCGTTAATGGTCCTTCATCTTTTGTATCAGCTTTGAGATTCAAAATAAGGAAAATCTTCAATATATATATCAATATATAATGATATATCATATATATATATATTGATATATATATTGAATATATATATATATCATATCAATATATAATATATCAATATTCATTATAGGTGTAGGTTAGCAACTCCCTGAGGTAGTTGGGAACTCCGAGCTCAAGCTTCTCCAAAATTCAAAGATGTTCTAAACTTCGGTCACATTTGGAACCTCTCTCCAATAAACATTAATGAGGACTCTCTCAGGAATGGTAGACAAACAGATCTGTAAAAGGTGACCCCATTTTGAGTCATCTCAGATCATAAAGAACACCACATCTTACTCAGCATCTTAATAAATGGTTTTGTAAAATAAATGAAAATTAGGACAGGGTAACCAATTAAATCCCAAAATCTAGTGATTTTCTGCTCATCCATTAACTAGTTTTTGAGGCCTTGAACACCTAGAAAAACCAATGTGGTTGTTTTTCGGATGAGATTAACTAAGACTGTAGCAGAATTACTACAAATGAATTTAGTCATATTTGTAACAACCAATTCTGATTGTAAATGTTGCACAAACACTCCATATCTTGCTTTCTGTGAATGCATTTCTTTAGAATAACTTAATCTGACAGGATTGCAAAGTTCAAATCCAGAACTTCAGCAAGGGGTTCCATCTGCTGTTCTGACTCCAGACACTCATGCTCAAATTTCTATGCTCAAACTCATGCAGGCCTGTGGGTCTGGAAATTACGTACTGCTCTGAGCTCATCTTCATATTATATCATCCTATAAACATGGTGAATGCAATCCAAATCAACCTTGAACTCAGAGGAACACCTTTAGCAGGATGAATTTTGATATTACCAAGGATGTACAGAGGCATAAAGTACATTTAAATAAAATGAGCAGCAGTTCTTCAAGCAAAAATCCTCTCTGAGATATGATTCTATCCAAAGAGCACAGGAAACCACAAAACTGGCAGCAATCAACTGCAGTGTAAACACATGTATAGAATTCAAAAATAGAGCAACAAAACCTCAGAGAACATTGTGTCTCTGCTGCTGGAAGTAGAGTTCTGTCAGGCACACAGCATATCAAGAGGGAGGTTAAATACTTGGAAAAGTCTTTGGCAAATAGAGCATTTCATCTGAATATCACTAAGCAGTTAGGAATCCTGATATTGACTTCAGCACATAACATATTACTCAAACGGGGAGATGAGTCCAATCAAGCTAGAATAATACAATTATAACTAGAGGTCACTGGAAACACAGATTCAGACTGCCCTCTTTGTGAGAATAACTACTGGAATCTGCACGATTCCTCACGCATGATACATTCACATTTTAGCAAAGTGTTACCTTTTAATCCACTCTATTTTCCAAAGATTTCAAGGTACAGTAATAATAAAAAAAAACATAAACAACTGTAGAATTATACTGTACAGAGCACCATATTTCTGCATTCACAGGAAGCTGCAGTGCCTTTCTACAGCAGCAGCACATAGTGCTGTTTTTTCCGTACAGCTTGATCACTTTGAATTGCATACTGTGTGTTGTGCGGTTTTGCTCTTACTCGGAGACACATCTTGACTTCATTACAATTTGACTGAGCAAACTTAGGATTCCAGTTTTTTTATCTTGCTATTACTATGTGAGCTGTCATAATTGAGATATACTAAAGAATTAATTTTCAATTTCTACCTCTCGCATTTTCTCTTTAACAGTCTTGTTCCAGATTCGGTTCACCCCATTTCTCAAGTTGATTGTCACTTTATCACTCTGTCCTGTCCCTGAACATGAGCTCCCAAGAAGTCTTTTACTTGGAGTAGAGTTATCATTAAAGAATATCAGAATATGTTCTTCTAGACTTTTATCTCACCTAAATTCGGCTGCCTAGAGTTAGACTTGTGAGTAATCTAAAGCTGTGTTTTCTATAGACAAGTTCCAAAGTAGCAATATTGGATTGAGTTGGAAACATCATTCTTAGGAGAGATCAGTTTGTTGGCCCAATTCACAACACTGCTGCACAAACAATTGCAACAACTTAGTGCAAGGACTGGAATGAGAACAAGCTGTACTGTGTAGATGGAATATCTGATACTGCTCAGACTTCCATCTCACAGAACAACCTGGAGACAGATGGAGAGAGATTCGTGAAGAAGGTCCTTTGCAAACTCTATCAGCTATAGAAAGTGCTAAGAAAACTAGTTCATCCTTGACACAAAGCAAAAGTTAGGTAAGATTTGCAAACTATGCTGTGCTTTACTGAGACTTCAAATAAAGAGACTTCCACCATTCTTTTAAGAATATTTCAGAAGACAAAAGAACACGTATGGTTTGTTAATAGCAAATCCTTTGGCAGTCACATTCTTCGACATAAATTAATGCAAATCCATCTTATCTTTCCTCTGGTTCTTGGAATAAAAATGCAAATACCTTCTCCTGAAATTACAGCAATAGAGAAGGATACTGATTAACTTAGCAAGGGTTCTAAGTGTAGAGGTACATGCTATGACAGCCAGACTTGGCAAAGGCTAGCCAAGAAACACCTAGAAAAATAAATTTTTAGAAAAGAATATACTCACTTCAAGAAGTAAAGTCTACAGGAATATCCACAATTCTCAGATGTCTGAAAAGATTCATATGTTTATACATATAAAATGTATCTATCTATTAAAGGGCAACAACCAAAAAAAAAAAAAAAAAAAAAGATCTATCCCAATGCTTACGGTTTCACAGTTCAAACATCTAGTTTCGTTAGTCAGTGTTCCCTGAAAAATCTCATGCACCCAGGTGAGTTCTTGCTTATTGTTCTCTTCAGCTTCGGTCATGTTGCCATTTTTCAATTTCCCATTTTGCTTTTCCTGTTTCTTCTCCTCCTGTAAAATGTCGGCGATTGTATTCAGCAAGTAATTCAAAAACTCATGTGCATCCTGCTGCATGTAGTTGTCAAATAGATCTGTGAAGAAGAGAGTCAAGATTTCTAAAGCTGAGTATATCATTTATTTCAAGAAATCAAACTAAAGTCATTGTTTTCCAAAGACATGTATTGGTCCTTGCTCAGCAAACTACTTAAAATCATGCCAAAGAAAAGTACACTGGCTCTCAGAGAAGCTACCTTGAGGGAAGACTTCAACTCACATAACTTTAGCGTGTCTAAAAGAGTAGGGTTGTATTTGGAATTAGCTGTGTAGGCTTCTACTACAGTCTGTGAAGAAAGCAAGAGAGTGGTCCTCAGTGCAGCCAACTATCTGTGCCCACTGTACAAGAAAACTGGTGACTACAGAAGGAACTTACATTAATTGCTTACACCCATTGCTTAACATCAGACTGATTCCCACCCATACATTCCACATCACTGAGTTTGGACAGTACAAACCTTGGCTGGCGAAAACGAAGATGCTGGATGCAAACATAATAATAATAATAATAATAATAATAATAGCAACATCATCTAACAAAGCTTATTTTTCACACACAAGATGAGCACAGACTTCTCTTTCATATAAAATGCTTTCTGGAGCAGAGACTACCTCAGTGGTGATGAAAAACAGGCTTCTTCCCTAGTGAAGGCTTAACTTACCCAAAACATTAAAGAAAAATAATTTGCGTTCCCAAGAAATGTGTGATTTTATCCCTCTGCTCCTGGAAAAAGCCCACATGGATTTCCTCAAAAATATTGTACAGTCAATAGCTTTGCAGCAGCTAGCCTGAACACAGAAGCACATTAATATATTCCAAATCTGTCCCTAATTTGAAAAAGTTGAAAACACAAGACCAGGTCCCAAAAGGTGATCCCAGCAGTGTAGGGGCATTTATCACTAAGATGACTTGGAGCTGACTTTGTCACTGTTTACAATGCCTGCTTTGCAATGGACAGTCTGCCCATTTACATGCTGTCACCAGGAGGCAATTTCTTCCAGGTGTTAACTCACAATTCTTTCTTCTCTTCATTCAAAGCTCCCTTGTTTCCAAGTACAACACCCACACTGATACGAATCCAGGCTGAAAAGGAACTGTATGGCAGGCTTCCTTATTTCAAGACATTCCCCCCATCCCTTGGGAAGAAACACTAAAAGACCAGGCATATGCTGTTGCCAGTGTGGTGCTCAAAAAGGGCCTGATGCTTCTCAGTGTCAGACTGCACCCACTGCTTCTAAGAACAGCAGCAGTGGTTGACATGCAGTCCACTGAACAACTCCAAAACACAGTTTCCTGCTCTCCAAGGTATTTTGGGCTTGTAATGCCTGTAGCCCTAATAGGCCACACTGCTTCAGTACTGCCAGCTGCCCACAGCATTTCTCTCTGCCATGCTACATTAAAGGTAAGAAAAAACCTGAGGCAGAATGCCACCTCCTCCCCAGCTCTAACTCACTGCTCAGTGTGGTCTGTCATACCATGCACTGAATTATCACCTCTGAGAACTCAGGAAATCTGGCATAGCAATTTCAAGCATAAGGCTGCATAACAGATACTATAATATTAGTATCTAAAACCAAAAAATGCTAAAAGTCATTTACAGACTTAACTAAGACATCTGACTAATATGACCACGTTGCTCAATGTTTAGATTTCCCTGATCAGCTTACAGATATCTAAGAGAATTCCAGTTTCATACTTACCATTCTCTTTTCGCAACCTTGATATGAACTTCTTTGGCGGAATAACTCCAACTTTCTTCTTCTGAGTAGCAATACTGTGAAAAAGATCTGCCAGGCAAGTCAAGAGATTTTCCTTCTTTTTCTGTTGGGCCTTGTATGATAAAACATTTTCCCGAAATGGACGGCAAAAGTACAGTGCCTGCAGCACGGAGTTACAGTAGCAGGTGTTCCCAAACTGCCATGTAAAAGCAAAAACAATCTTAATCTCTGTATACCACAAGAAACTACTCAACATCTGTCTTCTGTGACACAGCCATTTTGCCAGGCAGCTGCTGTAGGAATATATTTATATAACTTTTATACAACTCCTTCACTTTCTACAAAAATTAGAGACTGTCCCTCATATTTTATAGGTAAAATTGACTTTATCAATTTAAGCTCTAACCACTGGAAACATCCATAGAACACTAAACTGTTTTCTCTGGGGAGTATGAAGTTATCTTCAAAACATTTTAAACAATTCTGCAGCCCATTGTGCCTAAAACTGGAACATGCACAGCACTTTTTAAAAACAAGGCAATCGTGCCTTAGAGCAGCATTGGGATGAAAAAAATAAGTAAAACTCATAAAAACCATAGTTCTATATAGGATTTGTCCATTGAAAATTGTACTTACATTGACCAATCCAAAGTAGTGCTCATTGATGGGAAACTGCTCTGGGCCAATGTCTTTTTCCAGAGCAGAGGCATTGGTGCCCTAAGGAAAGAGGGAAGAATTAATGTAAACTATTAAAATTCTAAAATAGAGTCATGGACATTAAGATAGAAATGCACTTTTTCCTTTCAGTTACAATCAGCCAAGCTAACTCTGCTCTTCTAATGGCCAAGCACAACAGTCACCCGAGCCAACACAAATATTTGCAGTTGTAGGTAGTGAAGCTAGCCTGACCTGGGTGCTCTGATGATGGCTGACTTGAAGTGAACAGGTCACAACAACAGTGGTTCTCCCCCGACACGCCTCTCCCTTATTTCATACTTCATACTTAAGCAGCTGGATCCCATTATGTTCTTGTTTCATAAAGATACTTGACCTCTAGATGTTGAGCAGGTTTTTTAAGCATTACTGAAACTCTTCTGCATCCCTTCTAATTTGTCAGAGGCCTTTAACAAAACCTGAGATCCAGAACAGCACCTTGTTCTAATAAGAGCAGCACAGAAGTTAAAAGTAAGCATAATACATGTGGTACTTTGTTCTAATGTTGAAAGGTGCATAAGTCCAAGCACTGCCTTGCTTCTTGGTCAGTGCCTCAACTTATGTTCAGCTGTGTCTTCATTTCAACAGTAAAGTCGCTTTCACAGCTACTGGTTTGTAAGTACACTCACTACTTCTTTGTGCATTACCTGTAGCTTGACTGTATGAAAATGCTTATTTTTAACAAGCTTAGATCAGTGAGCTAACAGGCCTCATTGCTGCCAGTGCTGTCACTCCTTGCTACTGTGTAAACATACAGATCAGTCTGGAGAGGAGGAGGCTGAGGGGAGACATCATTGCTCTCTTCCAGTACCTGCAAGGTGCTTACAGTGAGAGCAGGTTTGGTCTCTTCTCACTGGTGACAGGTGACAGGACAAGGGGAAATGGCCTTAAGTTGCACCAGGGTAAGTTTAGGTTGGATATCAGGAAAAACTTATTTACAGAAAAAGTTGTTAAGCACTGGAATTGGCTCCACAGGAAGGTGGTTGAGTTACCACCCCTGGATGTGTTCAAAAACCATTTGGATGTGATGCTCAGGGACATAATTTAGCAGAGGGTTGTTAGAGTTAGGGTAGTATGGTTAAGTTGAGGTTGGACTTGATGATCTTTAAGGTCTTTTTCAACCTGAGCAATTTTACGATCTCCGAAGGACATCAGTAAAAATACTGTACTTGGAGAAGTATTCTCTATGTACAGTTATTCAAGATCTATTGGTTAGCCAGTTCTCAATCTGTCTGATAATTGTTTTACTGACATCAGAGAGTCATTTTCTTACTGAATGTAATCTGCAGTAGGTAGTATTAATACACTAAGCCTTTGTAGTTTCTGTCACGTAAGAATGGCACAGTTGGCTGACTTTCATTAGAACATATAAACTGCCACCACAAAGATGCTAACATGTAAAACTTAATTATCCTTTTGCTCTGTACCAGCTGTCTCCCATAGTCATATTTGTGTTTTGTTCGTTTTTTTTTTCTCTGAGATTGACATCAGATTGCATTTACACAAGTCCATGCTGACTCTATTCAGAGTAAAAAAAAAAAAAAAATTTACAAGCAGCATTTCTTCCTAGTGCTCTGAAATGACCTGTTTTCCTGAGGTTTGTTCAATATTGGGTTGGAGAGCTCATCAGTTAAAATTTTTAAATTTAGTGTTAATCAGATTCAGTAATTCTGGTTTTTCTTCTCAACATCCGACTTTTATTTCCTTCCTCCACCTAATATCAACATTGCTTGCTCTATTAGATTATTTTTTCATGTCAGTCCATCAAAAGAAGATGATTTTACTCAACGGAAATGGTGTGAAACCCAGCACTGGTGCTCTTTAACAACCTATAAGCCTTGAAAGTAAAGAAGCTCCTTCAAGTTAGCAGCTTCCAGAAAAGGTCCAAAGCTTCTGTGTTTCATAAACCCTTACCAAATCTCTTTCCAGTCTCTTCCTTTCTCTTACAAGCACAGAGATTATTTCTTAGACCAGATGTAGAGGATTTCCCTTTGAGACTAGGTAATTCATTTGCACAAGGCTCCATGAAAAGATTAAGAAATATGTTGTACGCCCTTGGAGGGCTCTACCAAGCCTCAGTGAGAAACTCAGAGAAGAAAGGATCAGTACAAAGCCATTGCTGGCTGTGTTTCAACTGATATGACAGTGTGATAATTACCTAAGTTCTATATGAGGATCAGGTTTTTTTTGCTTGGAGAGGCAGCCTTGCCAAAAATGCTACATTCAGCAAAGCATCTGAGTTCCCATGAGGGAGGAAAATGATAGGCAGTTGCCTATCTGATACTAACAGCAAAGCAAACAGCTGCTGGTTAAATCAACACCTTGGCTTACAGAAGACAATTCAAATACAAAAGATCAATGCAACGTCTGAAGAAAACCATCCTCATACAGACTTCACAGCAAAGCATTCAAACCAATGCATAGGTTTTCTTCAATTATACATTCAGCATTCAAATTAAGTTCTCTAAATTAAGACTGAAATTGGATGAGGGTTGGTTTTGTTTTTGTTTTTTCATTTCTGCAGGAAGATTTTTCCATGCTGGAAAAAATTCTCCCTCTAGAACTTGCAGGAAATAATGCCTCTCAAAAGTGACCTCCCACTCTTTTACAGAACGTGCGTTAGTGTATACATATACATATATTGTATATGTCAGCAGAATATAAGTGCTTGGCTAACTAATTGCTCCTCTGTTACCTCTTTTTTCCCAGGCCCAGGTTGCTTACTTCAGAGGATGCCAGATGGTTCTGACAAATCTTTTTCAACATTTAAATTATCTTGAACACACTGAGAGAAACAGCAAGACCTAGGATTTGCCAAATAATTATCACTGAAAAACAAACAAATCCATGATGCGCACTAACTTATCTTCATGCAAAATCTATACACTGCTATGGAGTTTCCAACAGCTCATCATAGATCTGTTCAATGAGTGTTACACGTTTGACATACAAAAGCTCTTCAGAAGCGATTGATATGACACAAGGAATGGTTGGAAATATTCTAACCCAAATAAACCACAAACTGTACATCCAAACCAGGCTAAAGCTAGAAAAAGTCTTATTAGAGATGTGTTAAATGTGTGTGTGTGTTGTTCACCTATAGCAGTGTTCAACCATGACTACTTACATTGGGTTTTAAGCATGATTATCCTTGTCCCCAGGCACAGAAATCACTTTGGTCACTTTTACAAGTGAGCAATTGCTCAAACACTAAAGGGTGGGTATCAAATGGATGCGACCAGGCTCTTCTGCTGTTGCTCAGAGACTGGACAATAGGCAGTGGGCACAAAGTGGAACACAGAAAGTTTCATGAGAACATGAGGAAAATATTTACTTTTACAGGACCAGATTGCCCAGAATGGTTATCCTTCTAATGAATACTCCTCTCATGGAGTATCCTTCTCTGAAGATATTCAAAACCCACCTGAATGCTTTTCTGTGTGACCTGCTATAGGGGGTTGGACTGGATGATCTCCAGAGCTCCCTTCCAACCCCTGTGACTCTGTGATAATATTTTCAAAAGTTTAATTTGTACCTATCATCATATGAAAATTTTTAAAGTAAAATAAAAACAAACAAACAAAACCTCCTGTTCCTTTGGACTTAAGAATAAATACAAAAGAACAGTGTAGGGAAAAGAAAACAAAAAGAAAACAATGAAAAAACCCACATTGCATTAGATCATTAAGTCATACAAAGCAAAATAACCGAATAAAATTGTTCTATGGAGAACGAGGAATGAAACAGTGCCAAAATGAAAGATGCTGCTAACACAATACAGCAAATCAAACTTAATTCTGCATTCTGACAGAGCTATAAATATGTCACTAAATTTCTAGGAATACATATGTGCTTAATTTAAAGGAAAAGAGTGCAGTAAAGAAATTGGAAACTTTCTTAAGTCAACTGTGGAAAACCTATTGCATAGCTATTTTCTCAATGAACAGAAACACAATATGAATTACCATCAAACTAGAAAACACAAAGTAAGAAACAATAAATATTTTGTTCACAAGAAAATCTAAGCAAAAGAAGACAAAAGTTGAATAACGAAAACAGATATTTAACAAATACATAAAGAAAAATAGATCAACAAAAGATGGCAAAGAAGGGCTTCAGATCACATACGCAGCTGCAAACTAGATATTCTTTTAGTATTCGAGTGAAAAGCTATGTGCTAGAAATGGTGTTGTTTCCGGGAGGAAGAAACTGAAAACTTAAACAAAGGGTGATGCTGAAACAGATAGAAGAGAAATTGGAACAAAATAGATATGGCTTTAGGGCCAGGCAGCCTGAGTTTCACAGTTTTGGAAGGCATAGTGTTTGGAATGGGAGGGAAAAGAAAGGTAAAAAAGATGTAGAAGCCCCCTGACCAGCAAACGGCTGTGACAAATAACTGGAAAGAGAGCAAGTAATGGTAAAGAAAATCCAAACTTATTTTCCAGAAGCAACACCAATAGAGTAAGAGAAGAGTGAGGGAGATCATACTGGGCAGTATTTACAAAATGGTCCTCAGCAGATATATCACGTACACTCACCATAGGACCTTGACTTCCCTTGGGGTCAACCTTGACTTCCAAAGAGAAATTGGAATACCTGAACACACCTCCTTCAAAATTCACATGTATGAAATGTCAAAAATGAAACATTTTTGTAATTTCTGAAGTAACAAAAAATTGTTTAATTCAACCAGATTAGCATCTTTTTTTCCGGCAAATAAATGTTTTATTGTTCCACCAGAACAGCTATTTTAAGTTCTTGTTGCCAAGAGATAAAAGAGGAAATACAAGGTGCCATGAAAAACAGAGGGGATCATAGTAAATAGCAAGAGGATACTGACAGACCTAAAAGTGAGTATGTGATCATACTTTTTGGAAGAAGGATGATTTAAAATAATAATTTCACATATTTTCCTTAGAGTTTTCTGACCACAACGACAAATTATACAAGCTTCAGATGTCTGACTCTTTTTTTTTCCCCACTGGATGCGCTGAACCGTCTCCAAACATGGATGTACACATTATATACACCATCAATAACTTCAGCTCTTTCATTGCATTGTTGCCAAGAAACAGGAAGAAAAAAAAAAGCCTTGAAGCCTAAAATCCTGAATCATTTGGCTATTCTGACCAAGATTTTTAAGGTACTCTGCCTTATACGCCTTAAAGGACAAGTATGGGATGCAAGGCTCTAGTGAAGACCTACAAGTTCCATATTTAAATATTTAAATCCAAAAGTAATTTTTGTTTTTACGTATTGACCTTCAAAGTTTCCATAATTAGGCAACATTTAACAAACTGCAGTTCAGTATTCTTTTACAAATCCATCTCCATTCTTAGTTTATTTGATCTTGGATTAGTGGCACTTGGTCTTTTTCCTGGCACAAATAGCAATATTTTTTTTCCCTCTCCCATTTACTCTTCAGAACAAATAAACCCAGTATGGCCTCAGAAATGAGAAAGAAACTGAGGTTTGCTCACAGCCTGTAATTTCCTCAACAGCACTTTTGTGTGGGCCACAGTGATGACACTCATCGTATCTCAGTGCGCTTTTAAGGTAAGGCTTCTTCTAGACTTCATCACAGCTGCCCCAGCTGGAGTACTCTTTGTTAACATGGAGGACAGAAGATTAAATATCTTCATTAAATCTCGTTATAACATGAATTACGAAGGCTGCAGATATACTGGAGGACAGGCTTAGAATTCAAAATGATTTTTTCACCCATTAGAGAAATGCTCTGAAAATGCTTGAAATTCATCTAAGGCAAGTATAACATTTTGTACAGGAAGAAATGAATCACCTGCTTATATGCAGAATGAGAGAGAGCTAAGCTAATTGTTCCTGAAAACAAACAAACAGCACTGTCTACAGACTCTAGCGTATTATTCAGATGAATAAATTAATGATGCTGCACTTTTTAAAAAAGACAACACAAAGAAATTCTTACAGACGAGGCCTAAAAAGTTCTTAAAATGACTTTCCAGTTTAATTTGTCACCAGGAAGACTTCACACAGGACCTTGTGGCCAGTTTTGGGTGCAAGGCTTCAAGAAATACAAACACAGCCGGAGAGAGTCCAAAGGAAGGAAATAAAAACAAAAAACCCTAGAGGAAAATGACTTGTAAAAAGGGCTGAACGGGGTCATGTATAAGATAGAAAAGACTGAGACAGCACATGAGAATACTTTAAAGCGTATAACATTTATTACAGAAGGGAATCAGTCTGTTCTTGGTCTCAAGAGTGGACAGGAGGAGAAGTGGGAAGCTCAAATTATGGTAAATTCAGATAAGACATTAGGGAGTGTTCTAGCCTTATAAGGACACTGAATCATTGGGATGGATTGCCTAGAGATGTGAAATAGTCACTGTCACCACAAGTCTTCAGGTTAGACAGACATAAGTCAGAAACAATACAGGTTTATCACATGAAATTTCAATGAATGGTCAGGGATGTTGTGGTTTTGTGGCAGTTCAGAGGCACATATTATTAAGTGATCAGTAGTGAAATCAAATGAAATAATCAGAGCAATATCCAGAATTCAAGCTGGCTTGAAAACATCAGCACAGCACCCTTCTCTGCAAAGTCTAAGCATGTCCAAGAGAAGGCTTATAACAGAGCTTTGTTATAACAGACACAAGACTCTCCAGAAGTACTCATACACTGTGGAGTTGAGTGTACACAAATGTACAGAAGTGTATTTAGCAAACAGCCAACCAAGGACAGATTCACGAGGCAGAGGAGATTTTACTGACTGCTTCTCTAATTGGCCATAGTTTATAATCCATAGACTGGTGTCTTTTCAAGCCCACCAGAATCTCACCTCCCAAGTCTTACTTACCTGCCACACATACTTCATCAGAGCCCAGATTTGCTTTTTAATCCATCTTTTCCACAATTCAGACTCACTCAGCCTTACTGAACTGTAACTAAGAGGTTCCTTTTCTAAAGTATTTAGCATAACCACTGCTTTGCTCTTAATTCAGCAACTAGAAGCCAATGACTATATGCAATGAAAATAAAATATTACACGGTAAAACATGAATTGTTATGAATTGTCCTAGTGTGCTTATAATTTTCTAAATAACTGGGAAGTATTTGATGACCACTTTTGTCATAAAAGCAGTATGCACTCAAGGCAGTCTCTGTCACTATATTAGGACATTTCCCACCATCGTATATCCTCTAATACTACAAGTATCTTTCCTGGAATTCTGATGAAAAGAACACTTTCTGTTTGTCATTCTAGTGCCCGTTTGCCAGCCACGCTCTCAAGTTTTTCTTTACTTCATAAAGATGCTACAGTAATTAGACTTCACATTCCCTATATTTGTCATCTTTCTTTTCTGATTTCCTGTAGGTCATGCTGAAACGCCACACTCTTCTAAAATTGTATTGCTTGAACTGCCTATATTAATATTTTCAGATGTAGCAGTTTATTTTTCTTTATCAAACCACAGCATTTTTAAAAAGAATACCTATATAACATTTACTGAGAGCAACCGTGAGGTATTCTAAAAGATATTTTGTGTCAGAAGCCATCCGAGTGTGTTCAAAACGTACTGCTCATCAATTTGGCAGGGCATGCTGAAGTGCAGATCAGATTATTTGAAATACTCTTATGAAATTATGAAAGGGGAAACTAATATATCTTTTTGGCAGAACTCTGAAAGGTATTTAGGAAAACATGGCCCACAGATCTTGCTAGCCATCTTTGCAAAAATACGTCAATACATTCTGAAATGGTTAGATGCTGTTTGCTGCATATAACAGTAATATTGCCCAGGCCACAGCTGCTGCATGAACTCAAGGCTGCATCAAAATCTCATAAACACAAAAATATACTGCAGGGGTTTTCAGAGAGCAGCAATCTTGAAATGATAGCATGCCTCTTTGCCTTTGAACCAGCATTCTGTATTGAGTTGTTTGGAATGTCTCACAAAAATGATACCAATGAGGATTACAACATACTATGGTCTAAAAACACACCTCTAGTTCACGTCTAGAAACTACAAGGCTGACATGGCACAGAGTGCTGATATTCCTTCTAAGAGTTTGCTCAACTTATCTCATGCTTCTTCACTTCTACTGCATCTGCCCGACCCAAAAGCTGGTAATTGCCCATTGCAGACCTCCTGATGTGGCCAGCCAGTATACAGACCTCGTAGATGACTTTCCAGCATCTGCAAGGCAGTAAGAGGAGCTTTTTGGGAGCTGGATCTCCATCTCATCGAGTGGCCACTGTGCCCACACAGGAGTGTCACCAATTCCTTCAGGTAGAGGGGCATTCATCACCCTCTAGCCTCAGCAAAAGACACCCTCTAGCCTCAGCAAAAGACCTTATAACCAGGGGGAGGGTGGGGGGAGAGGCAAACTGGGAAAAGACAGCGAAGTAATTTTAAGTTATGCATTGCAATATATGCAACAAATACGTATGTCAAGCAGAAGGGGTAAACCTGTTTTTCTCACTGTGTTCCTACTGTGTTTCCCTCAGCATATGGGAGTTAATCCAGCAAATCTACAGTACTGAATCTCCTTTGCAAGCAAGTTAAAAACTGTCCCTGGCTTGCTTTGCTTCACTATACTTGTTTTGCCTATTTCTTAGCCACAGACTGTGAGTGGCTCAGTTCTTCAAGCACCAGGTTATACTGAAGGAACAAGATTGGGTAATATAGGTCTTTGATAGATTTCTACACATGCCTTCTGTCAATCTAGAACAGCAAAAATAGTTTATACAAACAAAAAGTTTGCTCATGTAACTCTAACCTTCCTAAGTCCCATTCTTATGGAGAGAGGTCTCAGCTCCTCTTACAGTTCACCACTTTATCTGGGCAGGATCATCTTCAGAGGAGCCATAATGGAGTGTTACTGGTACTTTCAATAGTTTATGTTTAGCTTAAAGAACCAGATTCCTGAAACCCAGCTTTTATATCCTAAAATAAATTAATAATCCTATGGGTTACACACAGAAGAACGAATATGACCAGTGTAACACAACGTATCTAAAAACCGCATACATATAACCTAAGGAACACACAGCTTTCAAGCATCATTACTGTCAAACCAACTTCACCCTCTGTCTTAGTACTGATATGAGTCAGAATTGTCTTGAACTACGAGCTCTTGTGTGAGACTTCAATTCTTCCATTTCTGACATGCCACTTTCACAAGATCTAATGGCAGCAGCTGAGCAGCACATTTTTAGAATAAACCCAGCAGCTTTGCTCTGTCTATGCAGGTTTTGGGAGAAGCCGGCTGTATGCAAGCACATGCCTGAAGCACACGAGAGAAATCATGGAGCTCCTAGAACTTTAAGCCAATGCTAAAGCCTTACAACCATCTTACAGCCTCCAGCTCCCCTTCATGCAGTGCTTGTTGCAGTATCCCTGACCCACAGGACTGGAAGGTATTAAGAGCAGTGGAAAGCTGCCATTGCCACAGAAGGGAGCAGCTCACAGCCCGCGCTCCCTCCCCAGCTTTGCTGACCCACGGGAGCCGGATCTCTGGGCTGTGCCTGCTGCCTTACCCCGGAGGCAGGCTCCGTTCTCCAGGGCAGCTGAATGGTATGTGTGGCATTGCCAGCACAAGGCATGCTGGGACACCACATGGAGGGAAGTTGGCAACTGTGTGGAGCTGCTCTTGAAGAACCTGGAAATAAGGTGGAAAAATACAGACTAAACCAACAAAATGTGCAGCAATTGGCTTCTCTTCTGTTTGCGCTGGTGTACTTAGCACTTGCTCTTGTCTTTGGCAGGTGTACCACTTTCTCAGTTCATTAATAAACCTTAAACTGATGTACTTTAAGCTCTCCCCCACCAAGAAGTTTAAGAAATCCAAACCCATCCAGATGCTCTGAGTCAGTAGAGTCAGGACTGCAAACAGGCCTGGGCACAGTGAAGAAATGGTCTTTTCAACTATTCCTGGGATGGGAATGGCAAAGCAAAAATATTAATATTTTCTTATTTCTTCCTAATTACACAGCGGGAGTTAGAGAAAGCCAAGTGTTAAAAGAGTAAGCAGCAGTCATCTCTGGGTGGCACCCAGCAGGAGAAAAACCCTGACAGCAGCTACAGCTGAGACTTCCTAAAGCAGCCCCCAGCCTCGGGACTAAAGCCTCTTACACCAGAACACTCCGTTCTGTGCATTCCCCGGGGGCTGCTGGCTGCATGAGCCCGCAGGGTGCCTGCCTGGAGGGATTTAGCGGGCTCACTGAGCGGGTATGCATTCAGAGCCGAACTCCGGGGTTCCTCAGCAGCGTTCTTAGGGCAGGAAGAGGAAAGACGAAAAGAAGGAAGGACAGGCGGCTACGGCTCCTTCCTCAACGTGCGTTTGCCGGCGCCAGCCCCGCTCCCGTCGGTGCCTCCGCTTCCCCCCCCGGGACAGTCCGCCGGGCCTCGACCGCTCCCCGGCGCAGCCTGCTCGGCTTCCCGCCGCCCCCCCTTCCCCGCGCCCTCGAGCAGCCCCCTCCGCCGGCCCCAGCAGGCCTGCCGTATCGCACCGCCCCGCCCGCGGGCACTCACCATATTACAGATGGAGGCGATGTTTCTGACAGTCATTAGTCTAAAGGTTGCAGCGATCCCACACCGCCATCTTTACGAGGTGAAAACGGCCCCGCTCATGGTGGGAAGAGGGCAGGAAGGCAGAGGGGGCGGCGGCGGCTCCGGCTCGGGGCTGGGATGAGCTGGAGGAAGGCCTGCCCGCGCCCCGCGGCGCAGCGGGGAGGAAGGAGCTCACCGCCCTCCTTCCTCCTCCTCCCGCGAGCGAGTGACCGGCAGTTTTAGCGGCGTGGCTGGAGCAGCCGCATCTCAGCTCCTCCCGCCCCTGCCTCCCGCACGGGCAGCAGGGTCCTGGGCTCCCGCCGGAGCGCTCAGCTGCGCCTCTGCGCCAGCCGGCTCCGCACTAATCCCTGCCTTCCTCCTCCTTCTCCTCCTCCTCCTCCTCCTCCTCCTGCTCCTCCTCGCCCGGCAGCCGCAGCTCCATCGCGGCGTGGTGCGGCACGCTCTGACCCGAGCTGGCCGGGCAGTGAGAGGCACTCGGCACCGTCGCAGCCAACGCGCCGCAGGGGGGGGGGGAGGACGGGGGACGGGGTGCCCTGCGGCAGCAGTGCGGGTGCTCTGCCCGGACAGCTCCGCGATGCCCCTGGGGGAGCCGCCGAACTCGGGCTAAAGGGCATGAGAAATGTCATTTGCTGGCAGGAGGAACGACGAGGAGAGCAGGCAGGCAGAGCCACGCAGCGTGTGACAGTGACAGCATCAATGTGCTTTGGGATGTGCTCTCTGCACCCAGCTTGAAGGACTCATGAATCCAGGCGTTTTACAAATCATTTTACAGCACGCAGGAGTGTAATTTACTGCCTACCCTATGTGCTTTAAAGTCACTGCCACTCGTGCAGACATTTACTTTTACAACAGCTGTGCAGGGACCATGTCTGTGTTATGATGTATCATAGTGCTCAGTCACAGACTTACAGCACGTGGCATTTACACAACACTGCTGATGCAGTAAGCTAAGTTCATTTTTAGATGCTACAATAAATGAAGGCCCATGCCATCCTCCAGGGTGTGAGGGCATTAAAAGCTATGGGCACCTTAAATTTGCACTTGTGGTGAAACACAGGGATGTTATCTTGTGGCCGTGTGGAAAATCTCATGGAGAAGCATGGATGGAGTTCACCTAGGATCATCTCTCCTCTGAGGAAAGGTTGAGGGAACTGGGCTTATTTAGCTTGGAGCAGAAAAGGCTCCAGGGAGACCTCATTGTGGCCTTCCAGTACTTGAAGGGAGTGTATAAACAGGAGGGGGAATGGTTGTTTACATGGGTGGATAGTGATAGGACAAGGGGGAATGATTTTAAACTGAGACAGGGGAGGTTTAGGTTAGATATTAGGAGGAAGTTTTTCACACAGAGGGTGGTGATGCACTGGAACAGGTTACCCAAGGAGGCTGTGGAACGAGGAGGCACTGATACAGGTTGCCCCCATCCCTGAAGGCATTCAAGGCCAGGCTGGATGTGGCTCTGGGCAGCCTGGTCTGGTGGTTGGTGATCCTGCACATAGCAGGGGGGTTGAAATCCAGTGATCATTGCAGTCCTTTTCAACCCAGCCCATTCTATGATTCTAGGATATGGCTTCAGCATCCCTTTCCTTAGCTGATCCCATCAGGAACTTAAAGTCCCTGTGTTGCTCTTTCCCTACATGTAAGGGATTCTTAAGAGAGAAAGCTGGTAACATTTTGGTGCTTACTTGGAAACATGGCAGCTCATGTTCGGCTACACTTTCCAGTTCACACTGCTATAATGTAATAATTTCAGTCTGCAGAGCCTGGCTCCATGGGTATTATTTACAGGAAACATTCTGAAATTTTCTGAGAATTTGGGTTTGAAGAGAAGGTCTTTGGTTATTATTAAAAAATCTGGTGGCAGCAGCAGCATCTGAAAGATGCATCCCACCCTGTGAATGCTGCTAAGACAGCTGGCTGCCATTCAGCTCCTGGTGGATAAGTGCCCACTTTACAAAAACAGCACCAAAACTAGCATTACTTGGCATTCTGTTGGCTGTTTCAGCAAAGAAACTCTAAATAGAGCTGTCACAGAGGCAGAACTCTCTTTCCTCAGTAACTGGAATTAATTGTATCAAATCACCGTGGACATGTTTGAAATACAGTATGGAGGAAGCTGTACTTCCAGCATCCCTCATGGAGACTTTTGGATGTTACAGACTGAAGTCAGCAAAGCCACTAAACTGCCTCATAGACTCACAAATCACTGTGTAAAAGAATCATCAAATAAAATACTACAGAAGAAAAAAAATCACCTTCGGTGTAATTTTATCAAGTCAACCATCTTGCACTATACGTCAATTTGACTCACTTCAAGTATTAATTTGCACAACCCCTAGGGTCTGGATTAAAAGTAATATTACAGATCTTGTTGAATTAACCAAAGGAAACGGGAGCTCAGCCCAGGTGTCATTTCACGACTGGCCACCTCCAGCTGCAGTCATGAAGCAATTGAGGCTTGAGTCCATCTCCAGTGCATTTCAAAGTAGCCCACAGAGATTGAATGTACTGTACTGTAGCTGTTTTTTAAGCCCAAATCCCTTTAATTCAGAAGACCACCTCCATTCTCTTTGCTACACAGTATTTATTTTGATTTACTGTAGGGTATCATGCTCTCTCTCAGTGAAAATCAATGAAGTAAATAAACTATTTTATAAATGGTTTATAAATAAGGCAACAAAGTAATTTACATACATGGTAACAGCAGGGTCACAAAACCTAAAGAAATACAAGGTAGATGTTCAAAATGCCCCAATCCCCGAGGCACCCCAAGGGTAAGAGGTGTTTCCATACTTCTGCTTTCTAGCTGACCCCCATTCCCTGATTTCCAGAGTAAGGTCCCAGGCGGTTTCTATTTGTTACATGTTGGTGTTGCCAAATAAATTGCTACTAGGTAAGCTCTTTGTCATTGTTAAAGGAATTGGACATTGTGGATGATAGCTTATTTTGAAATATGGACATACAGACACACATGTATACACATACTGTATATGTAATACTCTACAAAGCATTTAGTACCTTCTGTTTAAGGGTTGAATAAGGAATGTGCTAGTTTAATGATCATTTAGCACCGACTTACTTGCTCTTAAGCCACAGATCAGGCCAGACAAAAAGAAACTTTCCCTCTTTAAACGGGTTGGTGAGTGCTATGGTTTTCCTTCGGGGTTGTTGTTTTCAGAACTAGAAAGTTCATTTCTGTAGCTTTTTGAAGATAAAAAAACTGCTAAGAAAAGCAACAAAATTTAGCTGCAAACACTATAGGATCTGTGTAAATAAAGAACAGTGAGCAATTGTTCCCACTCCAAAGCATTGCCCTATCTCTTCATAACAAACAAGTAACCCAGTGTTACTTCTGAGTGCTAAACAAAGAGAAGGAAAACAAGGGGCTATTTATAACCTGAGAGCACTTACATAATTTCTGTTGAAAGGTCAAAAAACGTCTCCTGCATTTACTTTTAGAGCGGTCTTTCTCCTCCTGCATTCACTTTCAGGTCAGTCTTTTTTTCATCTGGTTATACATTCCAACATTTGTATTTCACTATATAAAATAAGTACCTATTGCAAATATCCCCTTTGGCTGGCTGAGGCTGTGACTTTCCTAATGTTTTCCACCTGAAAGTCTCAGACTACTTTGCAAACATTCACTTAGAGCTGTCAAATTACTGGGAGACGAGCTAATATCAGCCTATTTTATAAAGAAAACAGGCAGCAGAAACTTCGTGTGAGTTGTCCAAATGTACACAGCATAGTTGGTAGCAAAGCTAATACTGGCTCACTGTGTTAAGAGAAAACATTCCATTTCATTTCCAGAAATGAGAAATTTGCAGAGGGTTCATTTACATTTTTGTTGTAACAACCAATCCCTGAAATAAGTCCAGAAAGGGGAGATCATCCATCAATTTTGCTTAAAAAGTCTTTGGAATAATCATATTTGGGTTCAATTTCTAGGAAATAGGGACAAGTTTTAGTCAAAAGGCAGTTAAAACAAGACTCAGATTTTCTGGAAGGTGGGAGAGTACGTAACAGAAATTAAAGAGAATTCAGCTATCCAAGATAGCTGAATTCATTATCAGCACTACTATCAGTATGGTTAGAATTTTAGAAACACTTTATCATCTTTCACATATCACAATATTTGTACTACAAAAATGATCACTGTAGATTTAAAAGCATGAACAAATATGCTGATAGAAGCATGAGCACTAAGGACAGATACAAACCCCTCAGATCACTGAGACTACAGTTTTTAGGTTGATTTCTGTTGAGAAAAGGGAAATTTCAGTGACTTGATCCCACAGCATTGAATTTTTATTCTAGAGATACAAATTTGTCTGGCATTCCATTTTTCTGCAAGGTGAGACAGTCACACATTGTATAAACACTAGGCCAAACCTTTTTGACCTTATTTGGGCTACATAATGCCTTCAGCTTTTAGTACAACTCATCATTAACTTCAGTGAGAAAGATCAGCTCTTTGGGCTATCAGAGTAATAGGAATTCGCCTATGTGGGGACCACTGCAAAGCTGAAAAATCGCACTTTCTAATGCTACATCCAAGAAAAAGAGAAGACAGAGTAGAAAGTCCCATGATAATCCCTTTCTAAAGTTAACAACAGATATTTTCCATGAAACTTGGCTCCCATTGCAGAACAGATTGGAAGCTTTAGTACAACGCCAAATGCCAGCTTGCAGCCCATGGACTGAACTTCCTAACAGGTCCACAGGAGATATTCTATTGACTTCTGGAGTTCTAATGATAGCAGTGTGTTGTGTTCTAAAGTTCACGGCAGTCCATGGAAAACAAATGTGGAGGGGTTCTCGGGGGTCTCTTAGTCCAATAAAAGACCCAACTTTCTTCTCTGGGACATTATCAGCTCACGGCAGTTACTACCCGCTTTTTTTTCCCAATTCTGTAATTTTTTTTAAGTTACATTGTTATCATCATTTATTTTTAGAATTTTAGCAAACTCAGTTGTCACCTACCAAACTTGAAGCAGAGAAAATGAAAGTCTGCATTAAATTCATCTGTGAATCCAGCCTACCTGTGCTAATATTAATATTATATTGGCGGAGTGGAAAGCACCATTTGAGTTCTAACCATTATGTATTGCTGAGATGACCAGACTTCGTAGCCATTGAAGTAATTTACCATTCTTCAGAAAAGATTCACTGAGAAAAAAACACCAGAAACCTTCAGAAATAACAAATTTGTTTTGCATACCCCCAAGGATTTCTTTTATTGTTTTTATTCTATTCTACTGGCTCTAATTTTGTCTCACATAGAGAGAACAAAACACAAAGGATATTTTGATAGTAGATAGGCTGGAAGCTGTATTTAGTCTATTTTGGGCATGAATTTGAAACGGTCCTTTCATTTCATGTAAATGGTTGCATAAATTAATCAAATTGCATTTTTAATGAATTAACATCCCACGGATTTAATTAAGACACAGTCCTATTGCACTGGACATATAGATTAAAAAAACAAACCAAACACAGAAACAACTGCATGGTAAGGTTCCAAATCTGCCAGTTATATAATGCAGATGGATACTGACATTTATCAGCAAAGACTGACAGCTATATCAAGATTTTGCTTGCTTGATTTTCCTTCATAACTATGTGGAGAAAAGAAGTCAAACTGAATAGAAACATTAAAAATAACTGTGCATTTTGATGAACTCAGTGTGATGTTTTTGAACAAATGAAATTCTGTCCACTTAGAAAGGTATCAAACCAATGACTTAGAGAAATTCATGCATCCTACAAAGAGGGACCTTGATGACAAGGGCACCAACCTACAAAATCTGAACAGCTGAGTTCAGATCACCATAGGCTCCTTTGAAAAATCAACACTAAGTGCACAAAATAACCAAGACAGCCAGTTGTCACTTAGGTAAGTTCAAAACACAGACCTCAAAATATTCTTCACGGTGACTGCCTAAAACAGAGGTGCCCTGGTGTCAGCAGAAAAAATGGACCACTGGCATGATCAACAAGGGACTTGATGAGCTTTTCCTGGTCATATGTACAACCTGCCTGCTAACCCCTCACACTCACAAGAAGTGATGGCTTTGCTTTATCAGGAGGTAATCACTGTGGATCAAAAACAGCACATAAAACCTGAATCTTAAGGTCTTGAAACAGCTCTCCTTAACCATTCCTGCCCCCCCATGCCCCTAGTACTTTTGTGTTTACTAGTCAAGCTTCCATGGTAGAAGTCATGGATGGTAAAAATGTAAAGGCTGAATGCCTCTTTACGCTGTTGACTAAATTACATGAACAGACTGATCCAGCTTACTTGCCTACCTGTAGAAAAATAGTTATTGTGCAGATCCTCACATGAAATCACCTGAAGCTAGGTGCATCTGCAAACTCTTAAGCAGAGTGGCTTACCTGTAGTCAGGAGGCTGCTTTTCAATCCTGATATCGTGGTAACAGGCATACTGTTACAAAAGGACTGCACCTGCAACAGTGTTTTAAGATTTAGATTTTGTATCAAGATTTAGCCAAGTATCTACAAGTGGTAAGAAAACTTCTCTAACTATCCCTTGGTTGTTACTATGTGTCTGTTTTAGCCTGAATCAAACCAACTAGGCTGGTTGACTGTAATTTAGAGACTAGAAACCTCCGAGGCCAGGCAGTGCGTCCAGGGCTGGTGACACGTGCTGTGTGTAACTCGAACGAGCCGGGCCGGCCGGCCCTGTGCCTACTGCCCAGGCGTGCTCACCTGCTGGGAGTCAGCGGGGTATTAGCACGGCCTTAGGGCTCGCCTCGCCAGCCTTACACGCAAATCCTAAGCCTCCTAAAGAAGGGCTTAGACGGGAGTTTAGACAGAGATCAGCTGTATTTAGCTTCTTGAAACCGCTATGCAGCTGCTACTTTACACCGAACGTCTGCACGTTAAAGACCTCCGGACCCGTGCGGCTGTCATCCGGGCAGAGCTGAGCAGCCACGTCCCGACAGAAGACCTACAGGCCCTAGCCCGCTCCTGACCGAGAGGCCTGGAGCGCTCCCCGAGCTCCAGCGACCCCGAGACCAGCACGCACACCCCACTGCCCGTCCGGTGAGGAGCGGAACACCGCCTCCGGTTCACGTGCTCCTACTCAACCAACAGGCGACGGCGCCCGTGCCGCTGGCTCCCCCTCCCCGCCTTCTCCAGGGACGTCGGGCTCGCGCGGATCTCGCGGGAGCGGCGGGCCGTATTTAAAGGCAGCGGAGGCACCGACCGCCCTCTTTCCCCGCCGCCCGGCGGTGAGGTGGTAAGGCTTCCGCCTGGCGTTCCTCTCGTATGAGGGGCGGGTGGCATGGAGGCTGGGGGAGGCTCGTGCCGGTGGGCGGAGGGCGGAGGGCGGGGCGGGGGCCTACATCGCGTCTTCCCTTCACATTTGCCCTCTCGGAGCCTGGCAGTGCCCCGAGGAGTCAACACAGGGGGATAGAACGCCTTCCTCACATAAACACAGCGCGGAGCCGCCCCTCCGTCCTGCATCCTGTCGTGAGGCACAAGCGTCCCTTCCCTCCGCCCCACGGCTCTTTCCATCCCCTCCCGTGCTGACTTCTCTCTGCTTCCCCAGCTCCGGCGCGAGGTCCCCACGAGGTCTCCCGATGCTCTCCGGGGTTCTGCCCAGCTGGTCGCTCCCCGTCCCGGCGGCCGCTGCCATGGCCGTGCTGGGGCTGGAGCCTCGCTTGCCGATGCCGGTAGGTGGGCGTGCCGCCTCAGAGCGAGCCTTCCCCTGCCCCCGCCGGGTCTCATGGGTCGAGCTCAGCCCGTCGTTGCTCTGCCTCTGCGGTAGTTTTCCTTAGGCCCGGCCTCCTCTTTTATCTGATACAGTAGCTTTTGGTGTCTCCCTGTGATTTGTTGCAAGGTATAGCAAGTAGGCACACGGTGGTAAGGAATTAGCTAGTTAAGGCTTCTCCTAAAGCTGAGAACTCCCAGCTTCTGGTAATGTCAGCTCCAGAAGTAATTTAAGTGTTCTGTTTAGCAGTGTATTTAGCAATATTAAGAAGATATGTACTATTTACTTTAAATGGCCGTATTGGAAAAGGATATTCTCGTCCGTTTGATTAAACCATCTACTACACCTTGCTGTAGATATTTGATAATAAACTTCATAAGTGACTTCTGAAATTTTACACTGTAATAGTTGGCCTCTCTGTTATTAGGAGTCACTTAGTGATTTCATGATCGAAGCAGGCTAGAAATGGATGATCACACCTAAACTGAAAGCAGTCCTCAGGATTCCTTAGGAATGAATAATACCTTCTGTTAAGAAGGTAAGTGCTTTCTACTTTAATGAGTTATTGACCATTTTAAGTCACGCTTTTTTGATAATTTATGAGTTTCAAGTAAGTTGTCTGATCGGAGTAAATGGTAAATTCAAATAATCTTAGAACAAATTGGTATGATCTACTCCCCTTTTTAGCTTTGCCCTCTTAAGTCTCTCAGTGTCTTAAGTGGCCAGTATGGAGGGGTATAACAGTTCTCTCTCAAACCCAGAGGTGAGGCTGAAACTCTTCTTTGGATCACGCTGAGAGGAACACATTAATGAAACCATGAAACCACTTTCATGAATGTCAGAAAGTTAATGAGTCAACTTTATAGCTTTCAAAGAAGCTTCTGGGATTGCGGAAGTCGTCTGATGATCATGTTATCTAATTCTGTTTCACATTAATCTTTTTCAATTTTCAGAGTTCAAGTGTGTTGGTGCTCCTTGACTGCCTAGAATATGCCTCATGAGATAGAGATAAACAACGTGGAGTCAAAAGAGTTCCTTGCAAATTGATTGGTCTTCCAGGTATGTAGTGTAAAAAGTCTTATCAGACTTGAGTGGATGGGGTTGTGTTGTCTTTATCTAAGTAGCTTAAATTATTGCTTAACTGAAAGTTAAATAAACAAACTAACAAAAAAAAAAAAAAACAAAAACACCTAGTTTGAAACTAGTTTGGACTTCTGGAAACCTGTGGAAGTCTAGAGTTTTTAAAACTGATTTTATGTAGATCAGTCAAGCTAAATTAAATAATATCTTGGTAAAGTGGATCTGTTTTTTCTTCCTAGACTTGCCTTGGACCAGAATGTGTGCTAATTGTATGGGCAAGGAAAATCTTGTCCTGGGAAATGTAATCTTTATGGAGAAATGCCCTTGATTAAAGGTTAGTGTCATGTAGCTTGTCCATATGGTTCAATCTTAGGCCATTTAACTCCATTCAGGTATTTGATGCTGACTGCAAATTAAATAAAGCTTTTCTTTTATAGAGAGAAAACCAGCAAGGGATGTGCAAGGCATCGGAACAGATCTGTTGAGTGGATGATTGCAGACTTCACACAAGATCATTCAGTTGTCCTATGTAATGTTTTGTCTTGAACTGAAACTGACTGAGACTATTACATCTTCAATGCTCATGTTTAAACAATCTAGCCATTGGTTGCAACAGAAGTTTCTTAAAAGCTGTGGCAATTTATTTCTGTATGGATTGACTGAAATAAAGTTAATACATGAAGCTTGTGTTGTGAAGTTCTCTCATCTAGGTGTTCCCTATTCAAAGGTATTCAGAAATTAAGAGTGTTAATTTACTTCACTTTGAAATCACTTTATTTTGAGGTCAGTGGCCCACTTCTGAATTATTTAATTAGGCTATGATAATTTGCATACTGTCCAATTAGTCAAAAGATGGTCTCAAAATTGCTAAAGACATAATGGAATCACAGAATCACAGAATTGTAGGGGTTGGAAGGGACCTCCAGAGATCATCGAGTCCAACCCCCCTGCCAAAGCAGGTTCCCTACAGTAGGTCACACAGGTAGGCATCCAGGCAGGTCTTGAACATCTCCAGAGAAGGAGACTCCACCACCTCCCTGGGCAGCCTGTTCCAGTGCTCCGTCACCTCACTGTAAAGAAGTTCTTGCGCACATTTGTGCAGAACTTCCTATGCTGCAGTTTCCGGCTGTTTCCCCTTGTCCTGTCTCCACTCACCACTGAAAACAGTCTGGCCTCACCATTCTGCCCCCCACACCTTAGATATTTATAGACCTGGATCAGGTCCCCTCTCAGTCTCCTTTTCTCAAGGCTGAACAGACCCAGTTCACTCAGCCTTTCCTTGTAGGAGAGATGCTCCAGGCCCTTCACCATCTTCGTGGCCCTCCGCTGGACTCTTTCCAAGAGATCCTTGTCTTTTTTGTACTGGGGAGCCCAGAACTGGACACAGTACTCCAGATGAGGTCTTACCAGGGCAGAGTAGAGGGGGAGGATCACCTCCTTCGACCTGCTGGACACGCTCTTTTTAATGCACCCTAGTAAGCCATTGGCCTTTTTGGCCACAAGGGCACACTGCTGGCTCATGGCCAACCTGTCGTCCACCAGGACACCCAGGTCCCTCTCCGCAGAGCTCCCCTCCAGCAGGTCATCCCCCAACCTGTACTGGTGCATGGAATTATTCCTCCCCAGATGCAAGACTCTACACTTGCTTTTGTTAAACCTCATCCGGTTTTTTTCTGCCCATCTCTCCAGCCTGTCCAGGTCTTGCTGAATGGCAACACAGCCTTCAGGCGTGTCAGCCAATCCTCCCAACTTTGTATCATCAGCAAACTTGCTGAGGGTGGCCATTATCCCCTCATCAAGGTCATTGATGAAGATGTTGAACAAGACCGGACCCAGTACAGACCCCTGAGGAACACCACTGCTTACAGGTCTCCAACCGGACTCTGCACCACCAACAACGACCCTCTGTGCTCTGCCAGTCAGCCAGTTCTCAACCCACCTCACTGTCCACTCATCTATCCCACATTTCCTCAGCTTTGTTATAAGGATGTCGTGGGGGACGGTATCAAATGCCTTGCTGAAATCAAGGTAGACTACATCCACTGCTTTCCCCCTATCCACCCAGCCAGAGACAACATCATAGAAGGCTACCAGGTTGGTCAAGCACGACCTCCCCCTTGTGAACCCGTGCTGACTACTCCTATAATGGATAATGAGATCCTCAAAGATTGCTATTTAAAATACAACAAAATATTTTTCTGCTGCAGGCTTCCTTTTAAAGAGCCTGTTATGCAGGATTATGGAGAGCAGGAACAATGTTTTCCAGCAACTGAAAGGCCGCATCTCTTAAGTCAAAAAGGCAGGTTTCCATGTGAAAGTGTAAAACTGTAATTTGTGTATTCTGTTACTAGCTGATGCTTCAATCGAAGGCATAAGCAAGAATAGCAATGGTTCCAATTGGCTGTTAAGCAATCCGTACTGCTGAGTTGGTGCAGTGAATTATGGCAGGGTTAGGGCCAAATGTAAATAACCTTGGTCAGATTAGAATTCCATCTAGACTGGAAGTATGTTTCTGGTTCTTCACTTAAGCATCTGCTAAATAGGGCAAGTATTTGAAGGTTTATAATTTCTAGCCTGTCGGATTTACCTTAAGTATAAGCTTTGAAACGTTTTCACTTCTGGAAACTAACTTCTGGCAACAAGACACTTGTTCCTCTTCTTTCTGCACTGAGAAAAGTGCCCTTGGAGGACCTACTTGAAGACTCTGAAAATGAAGCCTGTTCTTTCAGGCCAAGATTTGTGATTACCTGTTGACTTCTCCAGAGGCTTACTGCTAAGGCATTACTGCCTTTCATAGTTAGTGCTTTTTGCATGTCTTGTAATTCTTTGCTGGATAACACTCAAAGGCCAATGAGTGGCTTGCACTATCAAAGATTAGTATTAACTACTCCTATTTCCAGCTAAATGATGTCAAGCCAGACTCATTTTATAGGTTTCTGTATAAAGGTTTTGTGCAATAGGGATTGCAAGAAAAAGCTAGGGGGGAATAAAAGTGAATGAGAGCTACTAGGTAGCTTTTAATCTGTACATTTCTTGTAATTCTGATTATTGACTGCACATCTAAGGATGATGCTTGAGAGTTTTGTTGGCTAGACCTGCAGCAGATTCAATTCTGTTCAGCAAGATGGTCTGTCAGGCAGGAAGAGTGCATTTTCTATTCTGTTTTAGCAAGTTATTATAACTGGGTTTCAGACTTGATCAAAGGAGGCATAGAAAGAAGATGAAGTATGTAAGATGCTTAGGGAGCAACCTCATACAGAAGAGAAGCCTTTCTAAAGAGTCTAAGTGTTTAAAAATGATCTTAGGGGGATTCTTTTATCTAAAAGGGCAAGGAAAAGGGACGAAGGTAAGCCTAAAGGAGACAGTGGAGCACCTTGTTCTGAAGAGATAATGAAAGATTCTATTCTTACAGGAGAATAGAGGATAAGAGCTTTTTCCTGGAAATCAACATCTCTAGTGATGTAATGGTAGACTGTGAGTTTTGTTTTTCTTTTTTAAGTTCTTCTTCCATTTTCTCCCTCTATCTATTTTAAGCTTTTAGAGGACTTTCTTGGAATGTGAGCAAGTAGTCCAAACTTACTGGGACTCACTTGGAAAGAAATTTTAGTCAGGATTTTCTTTCAGAGATAACTAACATCATTAATTGTAGATCATTAGTGTCTCTTGAAATGCAGGCAGTTATATTCATTAGGCTTGAGAATTTGTGGTTCTGCAGCTGGCAAACGCAAACTCTGGTTAACCTTGAAACTTTATGGAAAGAAAACCAGCAAAATATCTGTAGGGTGAGGATAATGTATGAATGCTCTTGTACCTAAGGAACAATGAGTGTGCATCCTGTGCATTAATTTGGATTAAAGCAAGCAGGCAGGCACTTCCTATAAAGCTGTAGTGGTCTTTAGATATTAGGTATGTATTTTCTTAACACTTTTTACACTTGGTTTCAGATGGAGCTAACATTGGATTCTTCAACATGTCAGTACTTCTAAGTTTATCTAAGCAAAGTTGAAAACTGCATGACCTTCACAAGACGTTCATTGCTGCAAACAGGGTCTTTGCTGTTTGGTGCACTTTGATGTAGAGATCAGAGACTTCCTCACAGTGGTTTGACATTTGAGTTCTATGGTTTTGACTCAGTGCACTGAAGACGTTAATACTCTTTCAGGCTGAGGTATAGAAGCTTGGAATAATGATTTATTATCTTCAGATTGTATTGTATGCGTGCTTAATCTAAGGTGCCAAGGTAATGTAATCCAGAATATGCATTTTAATTTAAATAATCCTAATTAAAATCTTGAGCAGGAGGAGTAATTGGAAATAGGTAAATCCTAGGAAGATGAGTGTGCCCAAAACCAAGGGAGAAATAAATGTGGGGAGTTGCAGCTTTTAGCACTGCCTGGCCATGGAGACAGCAGGTGATGTAGATCCCTAGTTTGTCTCCTGGGAGCATGCAAGGTCATTTATTATTTCCTTCTCAATGGTTTATTGCACACCAAAGCAGAGGTGGTATGTGGCCTATGAGTCAGAGTGCTTTTTAGTCCTTCTCCTGAGAAGTGAAGGTGAACTTGAAGATGAAGTTGTATAAGGGAATTTGGCTTAGGTTTTATTAGCTCTTCTGCCATTGAGTCTCAATGCAACTGATGTAGGAGGATGAAATTGCAGCTTCCTTTTGGTTATGTCACAATCTCTCCCTTATAAATAGAATGTTATCTCATGCAATTTGGAAAGTGAAAGAAAATAAATAGGAGTTCTCTGGAATAATTTCTCTGCATTTTCTCCACAAGCTACTTGAAAAGATTGCTCATTCAGCCTCCCCAGGATCTTAGTACCGAATCCTATTAGATTCATCACTTCATTCTTTTCCCTGAAATGTAATCATGAAATGCACGCAACATACTTTGTAAGGAAAGTAAAAAAGGAAGGGAATAAAGTAAAGTATGCAGAAGGATGTAGTTTGTTTCCAGCAATAATGTGTTCTCTCCTATTCATCCAGACTTGACGATATTGGATTCTCATTCCCCCCAGTAAATGAAAAGAGAGAAATGGCAACAACAGACGCAGAGAAGCCTGAGGTACTCAGCAAGTTCTTTGCCTCAGTCATCCCTGGCTGTCAGGCTTCTCATGTCCCTTGTGTCCTTGAATCTCTTGGTGGGTACTGGGGGAGCAAAATCCCTCCTACTGTAAGCAAAGACTTGGTAAGATAGACTCAGTATTACTATTGTTACTCAGGATAAAAACAGGAAGTTATGAAATAGCAATAATTCACTGATATTCAAGATTAAACTGCAGAAACTGCAATGAAAGAACAGATCACTTATCCAGAAAGGAAAAAATTATAATTCTTAAAGAAAAAAGCAAAGGTAAATTATTAGTCAAATCGTAAGCTGAACAAGATCAGAAGTGAGTTCAGGTTAGCAGAAGTGAAGATTTGTGAGAAATGGAACAAGTAACCCCACTTCATACAACCCAGCCCCTTCAGGCTGTGCAGCACAGGAGAGGTGAGCTGCTGTGACAACAAGGAGGCACAGCTGAGGACAGGATCTCAAATGTTGTTAGACATTACTATTATGAACAGCAAACTCAGAAAGACAACCAAGTTTTGTAGACAAGTGATGGGACCTGTCCTTGCTCTGCTCAAGTAAAATAGTGCAGTTTCATGCTGATTTATACCTCTGGAGACCTGGT